GACGTAGAATAAAATCACCTGAGAGACCACCTGAATATCAGCAGACAGGGCAGGTCGTGGTGTGATGCGATACAGGGGAGAAGGGGCGCAAGGATATGGCACAGCAAGGATATGGCACAGCAAGGATATGGCACAGCAAGGATATGGCACAGCAAGGATATGGCACAGCAAGGATATGGCACAGCAAGGATATGGCACAGCAAGGATATGGCACAGCAAGGATATGGCACAGCAAGGATATGGCACAGCAAGGATATGGCACAGCAAGGATATGGCCACAGCAAGGATATGGCACAGCAAGGATATGGCACAGCAAGGATATGGCACAGCAAGGATATGGCACAGCAAGGATATGGCACAGCAAGGATATGGCACAGCAAGGATATGCACAGCAAGGATATGGCACAGCAAGGATATGGCACAGCAAGGATATGGCACAGCAAGGATATGGCACAGCAAGGATATGGCACAGCAAGGATATGGCACAGCAAGGATATGGCACAGCAAGGATATGGCACAGCAAGGATATGGCACAGCAAGGATATGGCACAGCAAGGATATGGCACAGCAAGGATATGGCACAGCAAGGATATGGCACAGCAAGGATATGCACAGCAAGGATATGGCACAGCAAGGATATGGCACAGCAAGGATATGGCACAGCAAGGATATGGCACAGCAAGGATATGGCACAGCAAGGATATGGCACAGCAAGGATATCGGCACAGCAAGGATATGGCACAGCAAGGATATGGCACAGCAAGGATATGGCACAGCAAGGATATGGCACAGCAAGGATATGGCACAGCAAGGATATGGCACAGCAAGGATATGGCACAGCAAGGATATGGCACAGCAAGGATATGGCACAGCAAGGATATGGCACAGCAAGGATATGGCACAGCAAGGATATGGCACAGCAAGGATATGGCACAGCAAGGATATGGCCACAGCAAGGATATGGCACAGCAAGGATATGGCACAGCAAGGATATGGCACAGCAAGGATATGGCACAGCAAGGATATGGCACAGCAAGGATATGGCACAGCAAGGATATGGCACAGCAAGGATATGGCACAGCAAGGATATGGCACAGCAAGGATATGGCACAGCAAGGATATGGCACAGCAAGGATATGGCACAGCAAGGATATGGCACAGCAAGGATATGGCACAGCAAGGATATGGCACAGCAAGGATATGGCACAGCAAGGATATGGCACAGCAAGGATATGGCACAGCAAGGATATGGCACAGCAAGGATATGGCACAGCAAGGATATGGCACAGCAAGGATATGGCACAGCAAGGATATGGCACAGCAAGGATATGGCACAGCAAGGATATGGCACAGCAAGGATATGGCACAGCAAGGATATGGCACAGCAAGGATATGGCACAGCAAGGATATGGCACAGCAAGGATATGGCACAGCAAGGATATGGCACAGCAAGGATATGGCACAGCAAGGATATGGCACAGCAAGGATATGGCACAGCAAGGATATGGCACAGCAAGGATATGGCACAGCAAGGATATGGCACAGCAAGGATATGGCACAGCAAGGATATGGCACAGCAAGGATATGGCACAGCAAGGATATGGCACAGCACAGCAAGGATATGGCACAGCAAGGATATGGCACAGCAAGGATATGGCACAGCAAGGATATGGCACAGCAAGGATATGGCACAGCAAGGATATGGCACAGCAAGGATATGGCACAGCAAGGATATGGCACAGCAAGGATATGGCACAGCAAGGATATGGCACAGCAAGGATATGGCACAGCAAGGATATGGCACAGCAAGGATATGGCACAGCAAGGATATGGCACAGCAAGGATATGGCACAGCAAGGATATGGCACAGCAAGGATCTGGCCGCAGCAAGGATATGGCCCAGCAAGGATATGGCACAGCAAGGATATGGCACAGCAAGGATATGGCCACAGCAAGGATATGGCACAGCAAGGATATGGCACAGCAAGGATATGGCACAGCAAGGATATGGCACAGCAAGGATATGGCACAGCAAAGATATGGCCACAGCAAGGACTATGGCGCCAGCAAGGATATGGCACAGAAGGATATGCGCAGCAAGGATATGGCACAGCAAGGATATGGCACAGCAAGGATATGGCACAGCAAGGATATGGCGAGCAAGGATATGGCACAGCAAGGCATTAGGCACAGCAAGGATATGGCGCACAGCAAGGATATGGACAGCAAGATGCACGCAAGGATATGGCCACAGCAAGGATATGGCACAGCAAGGATATGCACAGCAAGGATTATGTGCACGAGCAGGATATGGCACAGCAAGGATATGGCACAGCAAGGATATGGCACAGCAAGGATATGGCACAGCAAGGATATGGCACAGCAAGGATATGGCACAGCAAGGATATGGCACAGCAAGGATATGGCACAGCAAGGATATGGCACAGCAAGGATATGGCACAGCAAGGATATGGCACAGCAAGGATATGGCACAGCAAGGATATGGCACAGCAAGGATATGGCACAGCAAGGATATGGCACAGCAAGGATATGGCACAGCAAGGATATGGCCACAGCAAGGATATGGCACAGCAAGGATATGGCACAGCAAGGATATGGCACAGCAAGGATATGGCACAGCAAGGATATGGCACAGCAAGGATATGGCACAGCAAGGATATGGCACAGCAAGGATATGGCACAGCAAGGATATGGCACAGCAAGGATATGGCACAGCAAGGATATGGCACAGCAAGGATATGGCACAGCAGGATATGGCACAGCAAGGATATGGCACAGCAAGGATATGGCACAGCAAGGATATGGCACAGCAAGGATATGGCACAGCAAGGATATGGCACAGCAAGGATATGGCACAGCAAGGATATGGCACAGCAAGGATATGGCACAGCAAGGATATGGCACAGCAAGGATATGGCACAGCAAGGATATGGCACAGCAAGGATATGGCACAGCAAGGATATGGCACAGCAAGGATATGGCACAGCAAGGATATGGCACAGCAAGGATATGGCACAGCAAGGATATGGCACAGCAAGGATATGGCACAGCAAGGATATGGCACAGCAAGGATATGGCACAGCAAGGATATGGCACAGCAAGGATATGGCACAGCAAGGATATGGCACAGCAAGGATATGGCACAGCAAGGATATGGCACAGCAAGGATATGGCACAGCAAGGATATGGCACAGCAAGGATATGGCACAGCAAGGATATGGCACAGCAAGGATATGGCACAGCAAGGATATGGCACAGCAAGGATATGGCACAGCAAGGATATGGCACAGCAAGGATATGGCACAGCAAGGATATGGCACAGCAAGGATATGGCACAGCAAGGATATGGCAGCAGCAAGGATATGGCACAGCAAGGATATGGCACAGCAAGGATATGGCACAGCAAGGATATGGCACAGCAAGGATATGGCACAGCAAGGATATGGCACAGCAAGGATATGGCACAGCAAGGATATGGCACAGCAAGGATATGGCACAGCAAGGATATGGCACAGCAAGGATATGGCACAGCAAGGATATGGCACAGCAAGGATATGGCACAGCAAGGATATGGCACAGCAAGGATATGGCACAGCAAGGATATGGCACAGCAAGGATATGGCACAGCAAGGATATGGCACAGCAAGGATATGGCACAGCAAGGATATGGCACAGCAAAGGCAAGGATATGGCACAGCAAGGATATGGCACAGCAAGGATATGGCACAGCAAGGATATGGCACAGCAAGGATATGGCACAGCAAGGATATGGCACAGCAAGGATATGGCACAGCAAGGATATGGCACAGCAAGGATATGGCACAGCAAGGATATGGCACAGCAAGGATATGGCACAGCAAGGATATGGCACAGCAAGGATATGGCACAGCAAGGATATGGCACAGCAAGGATATGGCACAGCAAGGATATGGCACAGCAAGGATATGGCACAGCAAGGATATGGCACAGCAAGGATATGGCACAGCAAGGATATGGCACAGCAAGGATATGGCACAGCAAGGATATGGCACAGCAAGGATATGGCACAGCAAGGATATGGCACAGCAAGGATATGGCACAGCAAGGATATGGCACAGCAAGGATATGGCACAGCAAGGATATGGCACAGCAAGGATATGGCACAGCAAGGATATGGCACAGCAAGGATATGGCACAGCAAGGATATGGCACAGCAAGGATATGGCACAGCAAGGATATGGCACAGCAAGGATATGGCACAGCAAGGATATGGCACAGCAAGGATATGGCACAGCAAGGATATGGCACAGCAAGGATATGGCACAGCAAGGATATGGCACAGCAAGGATATGGCACAGCAAGGATATGGCACAGCAAGGATATGGCACAGCAAGGATATGGCACAGCAAGGATATGGCACAGCAAGGATATGGCACAGCAAGGATATGGCACAGCAAGGATATGGCACAGCAAGGATATGGCACAGCAAGGATATGGCACAGCAAGGATATGGCACAGCAAGGATATGGCACAGCAAGGATATGGCACAGCAAGGATATGGCACAGCAAGGATATGGCACAGCAAGGATATGGCACAGCAAGGATATGGCACAGCAAGGATATGGCACAGCAAGGATATGGCACAGCAAGGATATGGCACAGCAAGGATATGGCACAGCAAGGATATGGCACAGCAAGGATATGGCACAGCAAGGATATGGCACAGCAAGGATATGGCACAGCAAGGATATGGCACAGCAAGGATATGGCACAGCAAGGATATGGCACAGCAAGGATATGGCACAGCAAGGATATGGCACAGCAAGGATATGGCACAGCAAGGATATGGCACAGCAAGGATATGGCACAGCAAGGATATGGCACAGCAAGGATATGGCACAGCAAGGATATGGCACAGCAAGGATATGGCACAGCAAGGATATGGCACAGCAAGGATATGGCACAGCAAGGATATGGCACAGCAAGGATATGGCACAGCA